CTTATCATTTGTTCGCTCGTTTGTACGTCCGATGTGCTTGCGCCCGAAATCATATTCCTTGTGGCTGTGGACCTAAAGTCGCTTCATTTTTATGTAAATGGCAACGTAAATATAAAGACCAGGGCAAGTACACTGCACAGAAGTAGTTGGACCGTCAGTTTATGTACATTTATCTCACCACTATCCGAGGGGAGGTTAAGAGGCAGGAGGGAAAGGGGAAGGGAAAGGAGAGAAGAGAGGACGGAAAGGGAGAAAGGGAGGAGAATGGGACTTAAAGAGAAAGGAGAGAAGGAAAAGGGGAAACGGGGGGGGGGTTAAAGAGGAAAGGGGAATGGGTGAATGGAAAGGGAGGAGGAGCCAAGAGAGAAGAGAGGGAAGGAGGGGGAGAAGTGGGGGAGGTTAAGGAGGAAAGGAAGGGAGAGGGGGCGACTTAGGGGAGGGCAGGAATGAATTTAAGGAAAAATCAGGAGTTGAAAGGCAGTGGCAGAGAAAGGGAATGGGAGAGAGAAAGCGAGAACTAGAGATGAGGTGGAGAGAGGGAGAGGAGAGAAATTTCTACGGGTCCCACTAGTTTATCATTACTATCATTAATATCATTAATGATGTTGTTATTATTATCATTATTGTTATTATTATTATTATTATTATTATTATTATTATCATTATTATTATTATTGTTGTTGTTGCTGTTATTGGTAATATTATTATTATTATTATTATTATTATTATTATTATTATTATTATTATCATTATTATTGGCATTATTATTATTATCATCATTCTCATTCTCATTATCATTACTGCTATTTTTATATTATTATCATTAGTATCATAATTATTGTTGTTGTTATTGTAATTATTATCATCATTATGATTATTATTGTCAGCATAATTGTTATTGATATTATTATTATTATTACTGTTATTATCATTATCATTATTATTATTATTATTATTATTATTATTATCATTATTATTATTATTATTATTATTATTATTATTATTATTATTATTATTATTATTATTATTATTATTATTATAATCACTAGTATTATTATCATTATTCCTAATATCATTGCCACCACTATTATTGCATTAATGTTATCATCATCATCATCATCATCATTATCATCCTCATCATCACTATCCTTGCCTCTGTTACTATTTTAGTATTACTGTTGTTGATAAAATTACCATAGCTATCTTTTTTTATTAGTTTTGTTTTTTATCATGGTAACCTGTGAGTACTATCAATACAGTTGATTTTCATTGTTATAGTTGTTATCAAGATTATCATTAAATATGTACGTGTTTGTAAGAAAAATAGAAATATTACAGACATTTACCGACATATCACACTAGATGAAATAGAAGAATAGAGAACATATGAAGTAAAGATACGTTTGAAGAATTAAAGAAAGGGAGAAAAAAGTATAGTATTAGAATTAGAAAATAGCGCGTTATGAAACCTGACAAAAATGTTGTACAATAAAAAAAAAACAGCAAAAAGCGAAAAAAGAAGGAATTTTTTATTTATTTAAGAAAGCAACTTCATAGAAATCCTCTCCATGCGTGTAAATTAGAGCTTTATGAAACATCAAACTTTCGCATGTTCGGTTCCATCAAATCATAGCCAGAATATAATCTTGTTTTTTTTTTATGGTTTGTTTGTTTGCTTTATTGTAAGTGTTAACATCAAATCGTGTGTTGATGTGAATGACTTTTTTTTTTTAATATGTTGATGTGGAGTGAGACTTCAGGATTGCAAATTATGTGAGTTGTAATTTGCAGAGTGGGGAATTGAGTAGCAAAATGTGCACAGGTTTTTACGTGTAAGCTTTTGATTCGCACTGTCTATATTTATTGTTTATGTTGTACAAATACGTTAGTGTATAAACGTTTAGTGTTTTATATATCTGAAATTTTATGTGTTTCTTTTTATGATATGCATGCGTTAGATTGCTGCTTTGACGTCCTTCTGCAACATTTTTTTTCTTGTAAACCACAGAAACATGTCAGCAGCCAACAGACAGGTTCATCTCTCGTCGGGCCATCTAGCTCTTGGCCCTTTCCCTCCCTCCCCCCCTCCCCTCCCCCTTCACGTCCCCAGACCTGCCTTCGTTGTAAGGCGGAAGACCAACAAGTGTGCCGGGTCGATTTTCTGATGACCCCCTTCCCCTCCCTCTCCCTCCCTCTCCCTTCCTCTCCCTCCCTGTCCCTCCCTCTCCGACCTTCACCTCTCCCTTCCTCCGTCGGCATGTCCGTGATCCTTCTCACTTCTGTATCTCTGTCTTCGTTCTCTTTGCTCTCTTTTGTCTCTATTTCTCTTTCTTGCTGTTCGCATTTCTGCACTTGGCTCTTTTGCGGAGCCATTTCTTTGTTCCTTTTAAGGAGAATATTTAGCAGGAGTGAGCTGCAACATCCCACGGCTAGCAGTCCCCCGCGCACTCTGCCTCGCGATCCTCAGCCGCGAGATCCTAACGCTGTCTCTGTGTTGCAGGTCATCTGGGTGTGCATTCTGTGCAGGAAGAAGCAGGAGCTGCTCATCAAGACCGGCACGTGGATGACGTCAGGTCTGAGCCACGGGGAGATGATGCAGGTGGAGCATGACGACTACTCAGGTACGGCCACGCCCGCGACGCCCACGGGGGACAAAAGGCCCAAGTTGGAGCGCGGCACCAGTGGCGAGAAAGAGCCCCGGCCGGCCAGCGTGTCCGGCCTCGTAGCACCAACGTCAGGAGGCCACCACTACCAGGGGGAGTCGGGGCCTCACCACGCCACCTCGGAGGCGCGGCCGCTCATGTACCGGCCCGGCAGCGCCCAGGGCCGCGAGCTGCGGCGCCAGTTCTCTCAAGAGCGCGGCGGAGGCGAGAGTGGGCGGCCGGCAAGAGGGCGGGCGGCTAGTGAGGGCGGCGATCAGCCACCCTCGCCCCACGCCCGCGATCGTGTCGTGCCGTCCCCTGAAGCCTTCCGCACTTTTGAGCATCCTGCGCCATACGAAAAGCGGCCCGCGGGTCCAGACATTCGGGTAGAGCGCGGGTACGGGAGCGCAAGTGGGTATGTTGGTTCGGGATACGGTAGTACCCGGTATAGCCCGGTTCCCGCTGGCGCCGGCGGCAGCAGCCCCATGGAGGGCAGCAGCCCCGGCCCGGCTTCCGTTGAGGGCGGCAGTCCCCATCTGGAGGAGCCTCGGCGCAACCACCTGGACCCAGCCACGGCCCTGGGACGCTCCTCCGAGCCTCGTCGTACAGATCCCGTTATGAGGAACGACTCATTGTCATCAGACCAGAGCGAGTGCGTGCGGCCGCCTCCGCCCAAACCGCACAAACCGCGCACCAGAGGGCGCAAGACGCGGCAGCGCTCGCTCTCGTCTTCTGACGAGGAGGTCCGCTCCACTCCGGAATGTACCTCGTGCGAGGAACACGAGGCCGAGTCCGAGAGTGTGTCCGAGAAGGGTGAGTATCGCGCCTGTTTGTTCGATGCGAGAGGGGGGGGGGGGGTGAACGACTCTGCGGGACAGGCTTCGGGGACACCACTGACGACCTACGTTGACGATCACGAGACCGACAGACGCTGCTCAGAGCAGAGCCCGATCTACCTGAGGACTGGCGGACACAATGTTAACTTAGTTTTCACTCTTCATGGCATTTGCATGAACAAGGCCTTACAGAAATGTTCTTTAAAAGATAGCTTACACATGGATTCAATAAGAATTGAGAGTATATATAGTAATTTGTTCATGTGGATTAGCATATAAAAATGTAAATCCTGATATTAAAAGAAATATTTATCTACAAACATTCATAATGCCTTACGAGAATATCAATAAATAGTTTGATAAGATAAGCCGTAACTTCGGTTCCGTCATTAGCTGTCTCCTTCGTAACTGATTAATTAAGACTATATATCAGTAATGAGACAAGTTCCTCCCAGAACATCAGATAAGCCACAGCAGTGCCTCGCCGCGCAACGAAATAGCGTCACGACTTCTATGCACGATGTAATTAGTAACTTAAATGTAACAGCAGCGACAGTAACATTGATTAGGATAATGATAATGATGGCTCGATATTGTTAAATCGTTGTTTGTATCATTAACATTCATCATTACTATATTTGCTGTATGAATATCATTAGTAAAAGTAATAATGATACTGATAAAGAAAATAAACTTGATGATAGAAATGCAGACAATGGTAACAGTAATACTAAAATATAAAGGAAACGATAATGATGATAATTATAATAATGATAATGATGTTAACAATAATAGCAATGATGATGATAAAAGTAATCATGCTAATGATAATAATAATTATAATAATGATACTAATGATAATAGTAATAATGATCATAATAATTATGATAATGATAGTAATAATAATAATAATGATAAAAAGAAACAGAATTGTAATGCTAATGATAACAGTAATAGTAATAACAGCAACAATTATAACAAGGATTATTCTAATAATATTGCTAAATATACAGTATTGATAATAATGATGATTAATAATAAGAAGAAGACTACTACTAAAACTAATGATAACAATAATAGTAATAATAATAATACAAATGATAATTATAATGATATCAGTAAGTATGGTAATTATAATGATATCAGTAACTATGAAAATGATAAAGATAATTATATTAATAATGATAACTATGATAGTAATACTAATGGCATTAAGAATAATATTAGTGATAATAATAATAATAATAATAATAATAATAATAATAATAATAATGATAATAATAATAATAATGATAATAATAATAGCAATATTAATAATAATAACAATAATAATGATAATGATAATGAATGTAGATTTGAAAATCACTAATACGGATGAAAATGTTAATAGTAACACTGATAGCAATGATAAAAATGAATGATACTAATGATAATGAAATTTTGTTATTATTATTATTATTATCATTATTGTTATTATTATTATTATTATTATTATTATTATTATTATTATTATTATTATCAT